ACAAAAGAAAACAATAGAATTAGCATAAAATAGTGTAAGTTAGTATAACTAATATTTCATTGTTTGCACTCTAATTTTAATTTTTATATAAAACAAAGTTACATTYGTTATTCCCTTCGTTGAATAATGCACAATTCAGGAACATCTGGATAGCGCCAGCATAATATAACGATTTAAAAGAACTAAAACGAAGAATTCTCATATCAAATCATGCACCATTACTAATTACTGAAATATGATGAAACGAAACAACAAGAATATTTTGCTAAGTCTCTTTTCTAGTTTCACTTCAACTATCCATCCCTCGTATTTGCWCTSTGTCTTYCGTGATGTTATGAACGATTTCGTGACATCATCACGTGATTACCTCGAAGTTCTGTCTGGGTCAAAACGGTTTTCTTTTATACTAAACATTTTCTTGGAATTCTAAGCTTTCAGCTTGAAGTTTGCTTTTTTAACCCATGTTTCATCGCTTTCTATCGACGAATCTAGTTATTTAARCGTCGCAGATGTAAAATCTTCGGCTTGAATGAGAGTATTCTAACAATCATGATTCTAGGATGTCGAGTTGTTCGAGGACCAGACTGGAAATGGGGCGACCAAGATGGAGGAGAAGGATGTGTTGGAACAATTGTTGACCTACAAAAATTTGCAGATGGTCAAACATTGCCGTCAAAAACTGTACTGGTGTGTTGGGATAATGGGAAGCAAGCTGATTACAGGACTGGATTGAATGACTGCTACGATTTACGAGTCTTTGATTCCTCTTCAGCGGGTACATTTATTTGTTTATAATATTTATGTATTTCACGCATATATGTAGTATAGTATAGTATACCATAATATACCTTCAGATGTGTCATATTTCTGCTGTAATTAATCAGAGAAACCATTACATTGTAACTGTCATAACTTACTTTACCTTGGAACTGCATATTTTCGTGCATATACATCAGCCTCGGATTGCTTGATTAATTCAAACCCAAGGCGGAAGTCAATATTTAGTTCAGTTCGGTCGCTTTGCTTCGTTTATCAACTTCATTTTGTAAGCAGTCAAGAGAAAAAAATGAGATAATTTCAAAAGTTCTTGAGACTATCTTCTCTTCTAGTAGCTATGTGAGATATTCTCAGATTGTTTCAAACTTATAACAATGAAAAACCATTGATGCTAATAATTCCTTGCTTGGTCGATCAATGCCTTTCGATTCTTCAAGATAAATAAGCTTATAGGCACAGAAGTCTATTTTTCTTTATTTTTCGTATTTATCCCCAAACATTTTCATTAAACTAGTTCCTAGTTATAAATTGGTCTTCCTTTATTATTGTTCCGATTTTGATATAGGCCGATCTTTAYTTACGTTTTTTCCTCATTAGCATTAAAAAATTTTAAGCTACAAGCAAACCGACTCCAGGAATCGAAAGAGAATGTCTTATTTAGTACTACTGAAGATTTGAGAATAATATGTTCAATATTTTGGGAGTAAAATGTTTTTAAAAGCGGTATGATTAATACAAAGAAACGTATGGTCGTGTGACAAGACTTCCGACCCTCGACTTACTACCCTAGACCCTCGACACTCGACCGAAAGACAGACTCTATTATTACATGTAGCAAATATGATTATGCATCGATTAGACTTCGAAAATCCTCTTTATCTCGTCTCCCAAAACTGTATCCTAAGCAACTCGAAGAGGTCATCAGCCTTTCCACCTTTTACTGAATTTTGAGTTTGTAGTATACTGCACCGTACATCTTGATTGAAAATATTTTATCATTATCGTCACGACAAGAAGAAGGATTTTTATTTTATTTTGTCTTACCGAAAAATGTCTTCAAATTGAAATAAAATTTGCATCTTCGTTTGCACACACAGCATTCTCTATATATATTATATCTCTATTTTTTATCTTGGTTTGTAGGAGTTGTGTTTAAAGATTTTACTTGTGATGGATGCATGACCTCGGGCATCACAGGAATACGATGGCACTGCACAGTATGTCACAACTTCGACCTGTGTAATGTTTGCTACATGAATGATGTGCATGACAAAAACCATGCATTTATTCGTTTTCACATATCGAACGACAGAACCAATGGGTGAGTGATAAATATAAAAGTACAAATTATATGATATTGCATGGAGTCTTGAATTAGTATATCKTTTGCCAATAGAAGGGTTTCATGGCAACCATACGCCTGGTTTCAGTTTGGTAAACATTATTCATTCTAGTTTATCTTTCTGGTTTATCTTTCGAGAGGATCTGGGACCGAAACTAATGACGACTGCAAAATAGAGCACGCCATGTAAGGCATTATGAACAAAATTAGATAAATTAGAGTTTCGTCAGTTAGATAGAAAACCATATTTTGCAAGAATTCAGGGTATTCCCTTCAGACGGCAAAGGAGTCTCGTGGACTTGCCTCACTACATCTTCACTACATATTATAACCAGGATATCTTGAATCTCCTTATTTTGAGCATTCTAACTGATCCCAAGGAGCTGAGGTTGATAACGGGACTTCTATGTATTTGTCGAAACTAGAAAACATTGCACCATGTTCGCCATCCAAGAAAAGAAACAGCGCAATTGTTTTGCGTTATATTAAACGTTTTTATTAGTGTAGCTGCATGGGCTGATTTTATTACAATATTGCAAACCCATCCATTTCGCATCATGGCTGAACAATCACGTCCATCCGGTTCGGAAGCAATTCCTAATAATTCTTCGATGCGGTGGGTGGGTGGGAGGGAGGTACAGGAGAAAGGTAAACTCATACCAACACGGCAAAGGTTGTTAGACAAAAAATTAATAACTAGAAAAACCAACCTTTAAAATATTATTGATTTTTCAGAACCAATGTTGGAAAGCRCTCTGACGCTGTTGAGAAAAAGATTCGCGCCACTGGAATATTCCCTGGTGCCCTAGTAAAACAAGGACGGGACTGGACATTAGACAATGACTTAGGCTCGAAGGTTGGAGGCGTAGTAGGGCTAACTGCATGGGAAAATACACCCAGGAGTGCAGTCCTTGTAAACTGGGGTAACTCTTTTGAAATCAAACATAGAGTTGGATATGAAGGCAAAGTAAGTGTACATTTGTGAATTAAGGGTGGCGTAGCAGTAGACCTCTCGCTTTTCTCCGCAGGGATCTCGGGTTCCATTTCTGGCCTCGGCATCACATGTGAATAGAGGTTGTTGCGTTTCTCCTTTTTTCGGATACTTCGCTTCCCTAACCCCAAAACTCAACCCCTTACCGGCGTTTGCATTGCTACGCGGCCACCCCAGACAAAAATMTAGACGTGCACTTTGCAATAGACTGCCGTCAATCAAACAAGTTGACGTCATTTACACGCGTTTGGATCGGCCCGGCTAGGCCCGGTGAGTGTGGCTCATAATACTTGTAAACAATCGACCGACGTTTTGGCGCCTTTTGAATTACACACGTGAGTAAATGGCGTCAACGTGTTTGATTGACGGCAGTCTATTGCAAAGTGCACGTCGCGATTTTTGTCTGGGGTGGCCAAGTAGCAATGCAAACGCCGGTAAATTCCAGCTCGATCTGTAAGTTAGTTGTGCATTTGGATCTGTTTGCGTACCGTACCTTTGCGAAAGAAAAGCAGTTGTACGTCGGATTTGTTGTTTTCTAATTGTTATCGTAATAATAATTCTTTTATAGATGGATTTATGCCTAGTCAAAGCTGCAAATGGGCCATGTTACTATAAAGACCATCTCCCTGTGGTATCTACGATTAGTATGCCGAGGTCAGGAGGGAATGAATTGAGAGAAGGAGACATGGTGAAAACGGAACTGGACGTTGAAACACTGAAGCAGTTGGCGGAAGGTCATGGGGGATGGGTAGATGCAATGCAAAAAGTGAGTTTGCAAAGTTTTCACARCCGGTTTCATRTTCCAAACCCATAAGATGACACTCTTCGAACTAGCTTTATTTCCTCCCTAGTCATTCGTCTCTATTTCTTCTTTATCTCCTGTTAGTGGGCTTCCTGCAAAGGGCGGCTTTCCCCTCTCAATGTAGTAACCTCTCATTTCGTGTTTTGTTTTTCAAGGTAATCGGAAAAGTAGGTAAGGTTGGCCGTATTGATGAAGACGGTGATGTTCATGTCCAGTATGGATTATTCAATTGGGTATTTCATCCCGAAGCACTTTGTAAGGTACGATGCTGATTTTTTRATTGCTTTTTGGTTTTGTACGTTTAAGTTAGCTAGTGCTCTTGATGCTCTTCTTCATTCATAAGGTAACTATAAATTTGCGAACTGGAGACAAAGTCAGAGTTGCCGGTAACAAAGAAACAGTGATGAACCTACAAGAAGGTCATGGAGGCTGGAATAATGCAATGGAAAATGTATGTAATATATCAAAAAATATTTGAATTAGCAAGACAGACATTTGACATAGATCTTGCACAATCCAGGGATTTAATTTCCAAATGCTATATCGAAATAACAAAGGGTATAGAGTAGACCTGGGCACCSAGTTAATATGGAATAAAAAGATCTCCTAAAAGCTTACATTGCGCATGGAACAAGGACTAGCTTACCAAGAATGCATGTTTTGCACCAAGCTAGGAAAATAAATGTACCATGTTGGCGATGCACGCACGGAATAATTCTAATGGATGACACAATTTTTTATATAGCGTTGAAAGCTTACCAAGCATGCAGTATATTGCATAAAGCTGGGAAGATGTAAATGCTTCATATCGTTAATAGTTTTGCTTTATAAATTAGCGAGCACTGAGCTCGAAAGTTCGGAAACAATTTTAATTGTTGAAATTAAAGGAACAGGCTGTTGTTAGTATTTTTGCCTTATTGACACCGGCCGAAAAGAAGGGCTGTCCAAAATCTTGATGACCCTTCCTCAAGATTACTCCGGAAACTTTCTTCTCAAAGGGAATTCTATATAGGAGTGGCGCATACATACGGTATGGACCTCGCACTCGATTATTATATATATTACATATGTTTTCCAGGTATTAGGGAAAGCTGGTAAAGTGATTCGAGTTGTTGATAATGGAGATATGGTGGTTAGCATCGAGGATCGTGTTTGGGTTTTCAATCCAGATGCTCTTATTTTGGAGTCCAAAGAAGAAGAGAGAACGCCTGCTGGACATGAAGATCCTTCTGCCAGCGCTACAACTGCCTTAGGTCAGTTTGCGTAAAGTATAACTCTACTCATGTAAGACCTTGAGTTCGAGAATTGAATCAGGGTCGCATTGGTGAGAGGTGAGCACTTTCACCTCTACGTCACCCATGCTTTTGGTTTCCTTATTTAATATAATGTTTGTGGAGATTRTAACAGAAAATGTATGGTGACTGAGCGAGTGCACTTTTCTTGTAGAACTTCTGCTTCACGCTATGCTTGAAGGAGTGTCAAATGCTTCCAGTTCAGAAACCGATTTTGAACCCCTTTTGGTGGCTACTACTGTTGGAAACTTGGAGAAAGTCAAGCAGATCATCGGTAGCAACAAAGCCTTGGTAGGACAATTTTCTGTTTCTATAATTGACATAACACCTCTCTCTCTCTCTCTCTAGAACCTCTGCACTGAAGTCAACTTTGTTTTAAAAATGATGATCAGTTGATAAAATAGTTTTTGCTTTTTCTTCCTTTAGTTTAAAATCTTCCTTCCTTCCTTCCTTTCTTAATTCCTTCCTTGCCTCCTTGCCTCCTTGC